AAATAAACACTTCCTAAAAGATGTGAGATCACAGAGCGCAGACTGACTAGGCCCTAATCAAAATAGGGTTTCAAGTTTTTCTTCAGAGAACGAAATTTCTTGTCAAACCACCCGGTAACGAACATACTAAAGATATAAAAACAAGTTAAAAATACTTCGCAAACCTAAAATCAAGGATAGACCGGGTTTAACACTGCAGCTCTTCTCCTGGGTAGATCAAAAACAAATAAATCACCTAAACGTAATCTATCCTAAAGAAAAATATGAGCAATCAGATTGGCACACGAGGTTAGATTTGTCATTTACACATTTACACTATCTTATAAGTATCTTATAAAGTACAAATACGTGTGGTGGAGTGGAGACCCGCGGAGGCCTCTACCTCCTCTCGCCTTCAGTATTTAGCTGGAGCCGAGGGTGTGTGGTCACCTCGATGGTCACCCGTTGGCGTTGGCCGCACCCCAAGGTTCGCCCGTTCCGCGTCGTCGTCGTCGGCGGCGGGCCGCGGCCGCTTGCCGTCGGGGTCGTCCCACCACTGCACGTCGCCCGAGCCGTACACGATAAAGGACAGGTTGGGGATGGCCATGACGGCGAAGTTGATGCCGAAGACAATCTTCCACTCGGACATGAGACCCTGCGCGTCAAAGGTTTGGTACAGGCCCCTGTTCCTGTTCCCCGCCGCCACCCAGCTGCATGCACGCTGCTCCCACCGTACTTACGTTCGGCGCGATCATCCCGATGATGTAGGGAGCTGCTATCCCCGCGAGCGAGCCCGTCCCGTTCATGAGCGCGCCGATGGTGCCCGCGTGCCTGGGGCTCAGGTCCAGGGCGTTGACGCGCATGCCCGGGTAGAACGCGCCCATGGTGGCCATGCCGATGCAGAAGAGCGTCACCACCAGGGTGCCGTCGCAGCCGGCGTACGCCGCCGCCAGCAGGAAGGCCCCCGGCCCCACCGAGCCTGTAGGGTGATCAGACAGTTGTCAAAGTGATCAAAGCGGTCAGGCATGGGAGTGATGAGGAGAAAATGGGGGGGGGGGGGGGGTGAGTGATCCACATTCGTACATTAACGGTCGCCCAGCACTAGCCTCATGCGAAGTCCTTACCAACGGTGGTGAACACCTTCCTCAACGTCGTGTTGGACACGACCCCCTTGCTGAGGATGTAGTCCCCAAACGCGCTCAGGACGATGGAGGAGATCCACATGCTCAGGAAAGGGAGCGAGGACAGGATGCCATTCTGCAAAAGGAATACAGAGATCAACGATGTTGCGTTCATTTTGGCCGCATGCGGGCCTATGAATGTGATGATTTATCGATTGCACACTCACGTCGGCGATTTTAACGTGCTGGACGTCGGACATGTATTTGGGCAGGTCGGTGATCATGGTGTAGAAACCCCAGTCGTGCCCGACCTCTGTAAAGATGAGTGCCAACACGGGCGGGGACGTCAGCATAGGTAACCAAGGCGTGGGGACCTTCTAAAAGAGAAAAATATTTGAAATGTAAAACAAAAGAAAAATAGAGTCAACAAGTCACCCCACCGGAAATCCACCGGAAAAAGTTCACTTACCTCCTCCTTTTCCTTGGTTTGCTGCGCTCCGACAACATTCTTGCGCAGATATGCTAGCTCTTTATCAGAAGTAAACGGGCTTTCACTGGGCTCTGAGTAGCAGAGGATTAGCCAAAAGAAGTACCTGTCGACAGGTGTTTCTCGTTTATTCCGAAGGTAGGTTTAGTGTGCCATGCCCCCACCCAATACCATTGCCACTGACGACTGACTCACCAGGCGAGGCCGAGGCCGCCATACACGTAGAACGTCGTGGTCCAGCCAAACCAATGCAAGAGGTATCCCGAGAGCAGGTTCCCAAGCAGCGTGCCCAACTGGTTACCTGTAAAACGCTAAGCAGGTGTAGGGCGAGGGTTGTGCACCGGGGTCGCAGACAGCTCACAGCCTCTGGCCCACCACACCCGGCTGGGTTGCTCACCAGCGAGGACGATGGTGCCCATCACGTTCCGCTCCTGCATCGGGGCCCACTTGGCCAGCATGACGAAGACGGCGGGGAATACAACACCCTGTGCAGAGAAAAAGACAGACCTCGGTCAGTCAACAGAACACTGTGTTTCGATCCGCTCATCAGCATCAAGATTGACGCCTGTGCCTGTGTCAATCAATGGCATGTGGCCAACGGTCAGCGACTTGCGCCTAAGGCTTAGGCAGCCTATGAGGCTCCTCTGTTCGATGGGTGCAGCGCGCACCACTGCGGGCCCCGTGAGAAACGACGACGTCGATTAGAGATTCGACGCGTCGTAGGCTCTCAGTAAAACTGAACCGGGGCACCAGAGCACTCCACTCACCTCGCCGAGTCCCATGATGATCCGCACCACGACCGCGCCGGCCACGTCACCGACCTGGCAGGCCCAGGGCGTGAGGCACGTGCTGAGGGTCGTGGTGAGGACGCCGAAGCCCAGGGTGTGCTTGCCGCCGAACCGCTCCGCGAGCATGCCGCCGGGCACGTGGGTCAGGATGTAGCCGATGTAGAACGCGCCCAGGATCAGGCCGATGGACTCCGAGCTCCAGTCAAAGGGGTAGTCCTGCAGGGCAAACAAAAGCATAAAGAGGACGCCCTTCATTTTTTGCTAAGCGCTCCCGGAAGCAGAACGTCTTCGTCGTATGACGGTCGTATGCTCGCCTCTTTCGTCGTGCCGGAGCTGGAGCCGTTGGTCGCCGGGCCGGTGCTGGTGTCGACGGGGCACGAGTCCTCCCCCGCGGCGGCCGACGGCGAGGTGTAGGGCGGCGGCGTCATCTCGTTGATGGCCACGCTGAGGCAGGCGCGCATGGTGTAGCAGTTCACCATGGCCAGCATGCCCATGGCGGCGAACACGTACCGCTGAGCGATCCATTCTGTGATAGCATCGCACATGTAAAAACTAAGAATTTTAAAGTTGAAAAATGTTTTTTTTTTTAAATAGGAAATTTTTCCAAAATCGAAAAAATTGAAATATCTTGGGAAAATTTGGGAAAAAAAATCCCCAAAAATTTGTTTAAT